CAGTTCCAAGGGCTGGGGTTTATGCTCTGTAACTCCTGTGAGCAGCACTCATGCACAGATGTCAGTGCATGAGGTCAGACTGCATGAGCCATGTGCCAGATGAAGCTGTGAGAGTGCCTGAGCATCCAAGAAACAAGGCTTTGCTCTTCGAAGGAGAAACCATGTTTGTGTTAAGTTTGGCACGGTGCATGCTGCCAGCATCCCAGATTAATCATGTACAGTGCAGCAGTGCTGCCACCCCAAACCCATCTGACAGCCACATTGAAGCAGACTGGGGAAAGAGTAAACTTGAGTGGTCTGACAGAGTTGCCAGCCCACATCCTAACACCCACTCTCACTTGGAGGCCTCTGTGAGCAGATTACCAGTCCCAGGCTGATTCTTAGCAGGTGCCCACTTTGTAACAGTCAGCATCAATAAACCAAAGCCTTAACACGCCCTGGAAACTGGGAATGACTTCCAAATTTGTTGTACTAGACAGAAAATTATTATAATTTCTAAAGCAATTGGTCCATTCTGCACTTCAGTCAGCACTGAGCAGGCTGCACTGCAGCTCTGGGGCTCTGGGCTGGCAGAGCCAGGCCCCATCAAGAACCTTGAGACCCCACAGCTGGGAGAGTCCAGTGCCACAGCTCAAGTTCTGCAAGGAACAGCCTCAGGCAGACTTCTAGGGAATGGAGAAGGACACCTGAGGTGCCTGAAACTCACAGGGTTCTTGCTGCAGAGCATGAAGCCAATCTGCCCGCTGGGATACGTGGGGATGGTGCAATAGGCGTATTCCACAACCGGGAACAGAGACTTGCAGAACTGACGCATCTCCTTAATGAGATCCAGGTGCAGCCACTGGCACTCTCCTGCAGGGAGAAAAGGAAGTCAGGATGCAAGGTGAGAGCTGCCCCTTTTCCCTGCACAGAACTGTGCCAGGTTAGCAGTGGTTCCAAGTCTCAACCTGTACAGCTCATGTGGTTTCAAAGACAAGACCCTTATGCCAGTTTTGCTAAGCCCAGTCCAATAATTAATGAGCTGACAGAGACAAACCCACTGCTTTACCTGGGAGGTGACTTGTTTCACTCCCTGCATCACATCTCCCCAGGAAGAATCCCCTCTGTGCCTCCCCCTTGGTATGTAAAGGTCTGTGGCATCAGCCTCTGCCCAGGGACAGCATCCTCACCTTGGCAGCAGAGAATCCCATCTTCTCGCAGAGCTGTCTTCATCAGCTGGTAATAAGATTCTTTGAACAAACTTTCTGCAGGACCTGGGACAAAGGTGAATAAAGAAAAGTTTTGAGCCTAGGTTAACCCCAGCCTGCACCTAGCAGGGGCAAAACAGTCAGAATTTTAGCTTGGCTAAATAGCAAGCCCAGGTCCTACATTAAACCAAGTCTTAGCAGCTGCCTCTTGCTTCACAGAGCATTTTTTAAGCAGAACTCCTGCTCCAAACTGCCTTTTAGAGATGCCTCTCTCTGTGTTGACTAGAGCAAGACTGAAGATGACTCAGACTCGTTGATGGGTTGCTAAAATGAGGTGCCATATCTACATTTGGTCCCTCTCTACCTCAGTTTCCCCCTTTAGGAATCCAGTAGCCTGACCACAGCTGTCTTTGGGGTAGGGGCTGCAGCAGCAGTGTGTGAGCCACATGTGCAAAGCTGCCCTTGCCAGCTGTATCTTCCATGGGATTGCTGGACTCAGGGAACAACTCTGCCAGAAGAAATAGTTGCTGGAGCTGAATTTTGAGGAGAGAAATGTAAAAGGCTGGCTTGAAGGCCTGCTAATATAATTTCATGGTTTCCATCCTTCCCCTACTAAAAGAACCAAGTCAGCAAGAGTCTTTTCACTCGAAAGGATCCTGAGCAGGCTGGCATAACTTCCAAGAGGTAGGCAGAAGAAAAAAAATGAAGGAGGGATGTGGAAAGCAGTGGCTAGAATTCTTACCCATGGGGTCAGACGAATCCGTGATAATCACATCAAAGGCTTCTTGATTTTGTTTCATGAACTCAAAACCATCTCCCACATGCAAGGTCAGCTTAGCACTGGAATAGCCCACTGCCATCCCTGGGAGGTATTTTTTAGATACCTGGATCACATCCTGCAACACAGAGAGCACAAGTGGGTCAGAGGCTTACAAGAAGCTGCTTCTCAGACTACTGTGCAGTTGTGACTGGAAGAACAGCACCATGAGTCATTTCCTTCCTTCAGCTCAAGTCTGACTCGCCAGTGAAATCCACAAGAGCTGCCAGCATCTTCAGCCAGCAAGCAACTCTCAGCCTTTTCCTACAGCCTCAGGGTTTGGTGACATTCTTGGTCTGTCCCTGCCAAACTCAACAAAACCTGGAGCTCCAAGAGCTCCCTGAGGAACCGAGCAAATATGATTACAGCTCAGACTGCTCTGTGCTCCTTTTCCCTACAGAACATCACTTGCATAGGTGATCTCTGCTAAATCTATTTATTTTTCTTCCTAAGTAAAACCATGCCAGCAGGTTTCTGAATGCAAGATGAGAAATATCCCCATCTCTGCACTATAGCCATTATATCAATCTCTTTGTAAAATAAAGTTTTCTCTCTAAAATGGTTAGACAGTCACTGCCCTGGGCCCAGCAATTGTACTGAGCACTACCAGCTTCTCACAGCTGGCAAAAACAAAAAAATATGCTGGTGTCAGGCAGTGCTTGTTAAAACCAGGGATGCTTGCCTACTTAGCTGGCTGGCAGAGCACACAATCTCATTTAGCAATGTTTCCTGTCCTTAACAGAGCAAAACTTTCTCAGAAAGTAAAATATCAGGCTGAGTAAAGTAGAGTAAAATAAAACTGGCTGAGAGGGAGACTGGGAAAAGAGTAAATTCAGTGGTCTGACAGAGTTGCCAGCCCACATCCTAACACCCACTCTCACTTGGAGGCCTCTGAGCAGATTACCAGTGCCAGGCTGATTCTTAGCAGGTGTCCACTTTGTAACAGTCAGCATCAATAAACCAAAGCCTTAACACGCCCTGGAAACTGGGAGTGACTTCCTCCCTTCCAAGTTTGTTGTACTAGACAGAAAATTATTATAATTTCTAAAGCGAATGGCCCATTTATCACAGAAGCAAATCCCTGCTGCTTATTTCCTGATTTTGGTTACAAGAGACTGCTCAACAAAAGCAACCATCCTCCTCGGCAAGGAGAACTGTGCTCGGCAGCGAGGGAGAGGAAAAAGCAGCACCTCCAAAAAGCCAGGGCGCTCCTCCAGATCCCGTGCTTGGCCCAAGTCTGCCTGGAAGGGCCTCAATCGTACGCGTGTGAAAGAAATCACATGGAAGAGGCAGCCAGCTGCCACGTAGATGACTTGTAAGGCAAAGAGGTGGCGCTGTCATTGTCACGCCAGCAGAACCAGCAGCCCGGTGCTGACGAGAGCCAGCAGGTGAAACCGCAGCTCCGGTGGATGCTGAGAAAGCCGGGCTGGTTTTGCTGGGCAGCCCGGCCGGCCCCAGGCCCGAGCTCCCGGGGCTCCTGCCCACAGCACAACGCACCTCATCGATCTCGCACTGCACCACGGACTCCACGGTCGGGTGTTTGACCACCTCCCGCAGCACGCCCCCGTCGCCGCCGCCGATGATCAGCACCTGGCAGAGGAGAGGGCACAGCACGGGGCTGTCAGCGGGCTCGGCTCGGTGGAACTTTGGCTGCGCGGCCAAAGGAGAGCGGCGTGAGAGCGCAGCGGGGCCCGCGCTGCCCCGAGCCCGGGGAGGAACCGCGGGGCCCGCGAGTGGCCCCCGACAGGCCCCGGCAGCCCTG